GTGTGTGTGTGTGTGTGTGTGTGTGTGTGTGTGTGTGTGTGTGTGTGTGTGTGTGTGTGTGTGTGTGTGTGTGTGTGTGTGTGTGTGTGTGTGTGTGCGCGCACACAGAGCTTTACAATATATGACTTAGCACTAATGCTACCTGCATTGCCATACTGAGCTGAATACAGCTTTAAATGCTGACTTTGGCACATCTGTTTTTTGTTCAAAGGGCAAAACGACTGGTCAAATATGAAACAGGGAAACACTTGCATACTGTACCTGCAAGCTGTAATTAGCCTTTGCCCTAATTAGGTGTGCAATAAGGTCCGCAGTATGCTGGAAATGGATTTTTTCTGTAAAACCAGACGAGTATCAATAAGAAGGCAAGTTTAATTGAGAAAAATTAAAAAGCATCATCATGTACTGAGCTAAAAGGGTGCGTTAACTTACCGTCAGCCGTAGCATGAATGATCAAAAACTTTTGCTCTTTCAGTAATGAGACTCTGTGTGCTAATTTGGTGATCTGCAAAGGTAAAGGTTGCAAGTACAATTAAGCATCTTGCCAGAAATTAGTGATTTATAAAAAGTGACTAGCATTTAATTATGCTTAATGCCAGGACAGCAGCAGGTATTGTCACAATCTCTCCTCTGGCTTCTTGATTCATTTCAGCAGTACAATGGAGGAGAACCCATCCATCCATTTGTGCCTGAACCCTTCACAGCCAGCTGGATATTAATTTCTTTAGATGTTTAAATGCCCACCCAGAGCACTATGCGAGGAACCCAGTGTAAAACATCTACAGCAACTGCCAGAGAAAGATGCCTCTATAGCGTACACCCCAATTTCACAGATACTTCTCTTCCAGATCTCCCAACTTCAGCATCTACTTAATGGAGCTTTTAAGATGTGTCTTGAAACCTGAGCTCTGACAGACCATTGATTTTTCCCTTTTTCCCCCCCAATGGATTGAGGTTTCAAATGCCTCGGACGTCTACAGCTGCTACAGCATCTCAAGAGAAAAAAGAGGTGTCGTCTTCTTCCTTTCCTAAATTTGTAGGAAAGAATTGAGCATGCCTCAGAAGTACATCATTTTGAGATCCTACAGCCTGATGAAACTCCCTGTAGCTGGACTTAAGTAAGGGAAGCACAGCAACTGCTTGTTCAAGGCAGAAAAGCATTTGAGAGCAGTTCGACTCTGAACAGCATCTATGTAAAAGCATGGAGCTTTCTTACCAGCCAGTCTGTGGCCCCTGTTACTGGAGTATCTGACACCTTACCTGTGCCTGTCTTGAGGCAGTGCTGTTCTCCCTACGTTATAGCAGTTGGTAACCTTCTCAGGTTGCTATGCTCTGGCACTGAATTTTGCAGCAAAGTGACCAGCAGGCAAGCTTAACTTATCTTGGCCTTAGGTGAGATAGTATACATGTTATAGGGGTGTAAGCAAAACAGAGACTAAAGATGATCTAATGGGCTGAGCAGCAGCAGGGCTTCATGTGACCAGTGGTGGGTTCAACTTCTCTGCCTCAGTTTTTCCCTCTGTAAAATGGGGGTGCTAATGTTTAGCTAAGCTAGAGGGCTACCATGAGAGTTAACAGTTCATCAGGAAACAGCTCATTAGGGAAGGAAAAAAGAAGCTAATTCAGCCACAGACTTAAAGGCAAATCATTTTCAAAAGAAGATGGCTCTACTATTCGGCAGCACTGTGTCCCCCTCTGACCCAATGGCACTGGGGAGACGGGGTTAAAGCAATATTTACATTTTACCATAGAAGTAGACACTGATTCA